GGGAGGAGGATCCTGCCTGCATGACCTACGTACTGGCTTGCTAAACCTCCAGGGGGGTGAGGGGGAGGGGGAGAGGGGAGGAGGGAGAGGGAGAGGGATCCACACTCCTCCCCCTGTCTCCCTTCCCCTGGTCCTCCTCTCACCCTGCTCCTCCTCCCCCCTCCTCTCCTTCCCCTCCCCCTTCTTCGCACCGGGGGAGACAGGATCAATGTGAAGGAAACAGCGATGCAAATGAAGCTGACAATACCCTCCTCCCCTTCCCTCCTCCCCTTTCTCCTCCTCCTCTCCCCTCCTCCTCTCCCCTCCTCCCCTCCTCCTTCTTCGCACCGGGGGAGACAGGATCAATGTGAAGGAAACAGCGATGCAAATGAAGCTGACAATCCCCCTCTCCCCTTCCCTCCTCCCCTCCTCCTCCTTCCTACCCTCCTCCTCCCACCTCTCACCTTCCCTCCTCCCCTCCTCTCACGCGGACACGGAGGGAAGACTTAGAACGCCACGTGACGTCAGGCCATCGGCTTACAATGTCGGCGACGTGAATAACTCCCCTAGAGATGGCGCTGCGAACCTAGTCTGGCGCAGCGGGTCGGAGATCTCCCATGATGGCGGCGGTCAAAACGACGCTGGCGGCAGTCTACACCCGGCGCTCCGGGAATCGTCGCGCGGCGCCGACTTCCAGCCGATCGTCCGCGACGCGGCGCCACCGTCGGGCGACGTCGACGTGCGGCTGGATGACGTCACAGACTGGTTGACGGTGGTGCCGCTAGGCAGGCTTGGTAACCAGATGTTTCAGTACGCGACGCTGTTGGGCGTTGCCAACGTTACGGGAAGAACCCCAGTGCTAATGCGATCCATGGGCGCACTGAAGCAAGCTTTCAATATCCGCACGCCGACCGCCGACATTCCCCGCCAGAGGCGCCACCAGCGACTCGTCAAGGTGCCCTTCGAGCGATCCATCTTCCAGCTGAACGCGACCACTAACGCCCTCTGGGGATTCTTCAACTCCTGGTTCTACTTTAACCACGTTCGCGACCAGGTGGCGCTGGCGTTCACGTTCCGCGACGCTCCCGCCACCGCCGCGCGTCGGTTGCTAAGCGACCTCGCCGCCGGCCGCGGTGACGTCACGTTTGTCGGCGTGCACGTGCGACGCGGCGACTACGTCACAAAGTGGACGGTCGCCAACCGCGCGCGTACGGCGGACGAGCGCTACCTGGCGGCGGCTACGCGGTACTACCGACGACGCTACGCCAACCCTCTGTTTGTCGTCTGCAGCGACGACGTCGCCTGGTGCCGACGTAACGTGCGCGGCGACGACATCGTTTATTCCGACGTCGGTCACGCGCCTGCCGACGACCTAGCCGTGCTGGCACAGTGTAATCACACGATCATGACGCAGGGCAGCTTCGGTTGGTGGGGCGCGTATCTGTCTCCGGGTGAGAAAGTCTACTTCACCGACTATTTCGAACAGGGAGCCCGCCAGCTGGCGCTGGGGTTCGACTACGTTTACAAGTTCCCGCCGCACTGGATCGGTATCTCCCCGGATGAAGGGATGAGATTGGGGGATGAGCGCGACAGTGAGGGGGAGAGGGGAAGGTAGAGGGAAGGGGGAGGAGGATCTGTAGCGCGACAGTGTGGGGGAGAGGGGGAGGGTGGAGAAAGGAAGGTAAAGGGAAGGGGGAGGAGGATCTGTAGGGGGAGAGGAGGAAATGGGGAGAGGGAGAGAGAGGAGGAGGTCAAGGGGAAGGGGAGGAGGAGATGGGGAGAGGGAGAGAGGAGGAGATGGGGAGAAAGGGAGAGGGAGGGAGAGAGAGGGGAAAGCGAGGGGGAGATAGAGGGGAGGGTAGTGTGGGGGAGAGTGAGACTTGAAAGAGAGTGAGAGGGGACAGAGAAAGAGAGAGAGAGAGAGAAAAAAAATAGCTAGAGGGAGAGAGAGAGAGAGCGAGAGAGAGAGAGAGAGAGAGAGAGAGAGAGAGAGAGAAAGATAAATAGCTAGAGAGAGAGAGGGAGGGAAAGATAATGAGAGGTAGGGTAGAGAGGGAAAGAGAAA